ACAAGATTAAGTGTTCTAAAGAAGAGAAACAGTGTATAAGATACAGAGTAACTAGGGGAGGTAATTTTACAAAGGAAAATCAAGGTAGGCTTCTTGGAAGAGGTAACATGTGAGCTGGGAATGAGCCAATTATGTAAAGAACTTGGCGGGGCCAGGGAAGAACATTCTAGAAGAGGGAAAAAGAAAGTAGAAAGACTTGTTCTGTTTAAAAACACAACGGAAACAAGCATGTGAGGAGAAGAATAAGATAAAGCTGGAGATAGGAAAAGTCCAGATTATTCAGGACCTTTTCGGTTTGGGTTATATTCTTAAAACAGCTGATGAGTTTTGAGCAAGCAGGGACATAATCAATTTTACAATTTAAAAAGGGAGCTTTGGCTACCTTGTGAGGACTAGATTAGAAAGATGCTAGGGTGGAGAAGGGCAGCAGTCAGCAGATAATACAGAGCCTAGTGAGGGACAAGCTAGTTGGCTAGTCCTCTCTGAACACCTGTTTTCCCTTACCTGTTTAGTAATAACACCCATTCTTATCTGGTCCTACTGCATCTCATCTAAGTGATTACACTTCCCAGCCTCTCTTAAAGCGAGGTGGAGCCACGTGATTAAGTGCCACCAGACAATTACTTTTAGACAAAAGCATTGTGTGAGACTTTCGGGAAGCCTTTAAAATATGGAACTTGATCTGAGCCTCTGCTCCGGGAAAACAGTACTGGCTGAGAAATTCCCCACCCTCTCTTTTTCTTTTTTTTCTCAAGTGAGATATAACTGACATTAGTTCCAGGTGTATCCAGCTCAGCATTCTTTATCTCATGAATGATTAGCTGATATTAGAAATGTTTGTCTGCTTGAAAGTAGCTAAACACACACATAATTTCCTGTTCAGCTGATTGAGGAATGACCCTGATTGCAAAATGACCCCAACTGCAAATCACCCCACCTGAGACTCGTCTATACCTCCCTATAGACATCTAAAGTAAAACCACACAGTGGAGGCACTTGGATCTTAGGGGATCTAGGGTGTGATCCCTGTTGCAGTAGCCTGAATAAAATGCATTTTGTCTTTCACACCTTTTATAAGGTAGGTGGTGTATCTTCTTCACTCTTCCTCCTTTCTTTCTAATGCTTGAAACGTATAGGTGAAGGAGCACAAGTAGCCTTCTGGGAGCATGAGGTGGCATACATTTAAAATGAACTCTGGGGCTTCCCTGGTGGCTCAGTGGTTGAGAGTCCGCCTGCCGATGCAGGGGACACGGGTTCGTGCCCCGGTCCAGGAAGATCCCACATGCCGCAGAGCGGCTGGGCCCGTGAGCCATGGCCGCTGAGCCTGTGCGTCCAGAGCCTGTGCTCCGCAGCGGGAGAGGCCGCAACAGTGGGAGGCCCGCGTACTGCAAAAATAAATAAATAAATAAAATGAACTCTACTTTATCAGACCACGTGGCTATAAAAGGGCTATAAAATAAAGGGTTATAAAAGAAGCACAAAAGAATGTAATGAGCTTACAGAGCAAAGTAAGATTAATTGTGAGAGGCTTGAGTGAATCTCAGGGAAGACTTTTCAGAGAAGATGATCCTTTAGATAGGCTTTAAAATAATGAAAATTTTGATTGATAGTTGAGAGGAAATGACAAGAATGATTGAATCTTGATTCATATTGACCTCAACAGGCTGGGATAAGCGATCAGTAGAACGAAAGTTGGCACCTTACTGAGTTTATGGAATGAAAGAAAAGGCAACTTAAAGTTATTTATCAAGGAGTGCAGAAGAATAATGATGCTAAGGAAAGAAATGGAGACTCTGGGAGGAGGAATAAATGAATGATTTCAGTTTTAGCCACTTGAATCAGATATAATGGTGAGATATTTAAGTGGAAATATTCTAAAGGCAGCTTAATACTGTCTGAACTGTTAAAGTGAGATCAGCATAAACACACATTCTGAAGTTGAGAGAATGATTTGATTTGCTGAAGTACATGAGGTGATAGAAGCTGATTGAAGACCAGAAATTTCAAGACCACTTAGTGGCAGCAGTAGGGAGAACAGGTGTTGAAGGAAAGAGGTGTTAGCACCTGTGCTCATAGCCTCTCGTAGCTTTCCCCCAACAGTTGTTTGGAGGAATACTGTTCTGCAAGATTTTAAAAGATATACCAAGCAAACAGTGTCCCACGCTCCAATAGTTTTGAGACATTCTGGGTTTGGAGATAAACATGAGATGTTTAAAGATGTATAATGTGCTATAAATCTCAAAGGAGGTTGGTAACAGTGTGCAGTGTTTTCAAAGCTTATTTCACTCCAGAAATTTTTTATTATAAAATCTTTAAAACAACATATATTTTGAACTCCACCAGTTCAAGAAAATGGGAGCAGAATGGAAGACAGTTGGGGAGGGAGACGGGAGAGCCATCTATGTATCGTAGAGAAAAATGCATAACCTATTACTAGAGGTTCCGTCCTATCCCATGGAACTTTTGGGGATCATAGGATCCATTGAAAATTTGGTGGAAGCTATGGAATTTCTCCTCTGAAAATTATACCATGTATGTATATATGTTCCTTTCCCTGGAATCCCAAAATATGACAGGGATTAACAATAATGACCATTAATTTCCTTTTAATATACATTTTCACAACCTTAAATTTCTTTACTATGCATATTGCAAAAATATTAAGTAATAAAATACAAACATATATAAACTAGAAAGTGATATTTCCCTAAGTCTGCTGCCTCCTATGTAATCCATCCCTTTATCTCAGAGGTCATTTTTAACAATTCTCTTTGTATGGTTATCCAAATACATTTAAATAATATAGGTAGGATTTTTCCTACCACTTGCATTTATAAAATTTACTCTGTCATAGACATTTTCCCACATGAGGGCATATTGATTTAGCTTATTCTTTTTAATAATTGCTGATATGATGCACTATAATTTTTCATTTTTTCCCACCACGTATTAATCTATTTAACAAACATTTATTGAATCTCTATTATGGGTGAGGTATCTTGTTTGCCTGGAGAAATAGCAATGAACAAAACAGATATGGTTCCTGCTCTTAGGAAGTTCTCACGCTAGCAGGGGGAGAAAAACCATAAACAAGTAAACAGGTAAGTTAAATAACTACAGATTTTGAGTATAGCTCTGCAGGAAAACAAACAAACAAGCCTAGATGAAATAAAGAGTAACCAGGGGAAGGAAGTCAGTTTTGTGCTGAGGCTGGTTGGATGAGTCAGCTGTGAGAAGAACTGGAGAAGAAGCAGTCTAGGCTACTGCTAATATTTATTGCTATTGCAAACAATTTCATTATGAACATTCAGTAAATACTCACTGATTGCTTACTCTTTGCCAGCAACTGTGCCCGAGCGTGAGGATTGAAAAGTGAACAATTAAAATTTGGTCCTAGTTCTCTTGGAGCCTACATTTTAGGGTAATTAAATAAAATACAAAGACCTCAACATAGTGACTGGAACATAATAATTACTCAACCAGTGTAAATTTGTCTGATTATTTAAAATACTATTTGCAATCTGGCAAGTAAATTTATCTCATTGTTCAAATTTGCTCTCCGAATGCTATTGAGGCTGTGTTTTTCACATTGTTTGCCATTTGAATACCTTTTGTAATTTGCCGGTATATATCCTTGTAATAAAGAAGAACAAATCTGACTCCATATTGGATCTGTTTCTTTTACTTTAACCTTTGTATTCTATTGCTTTTGCTACAAGTTAATCACTAAAGGGATGTTGCCTATGCCTTAAAGTATACATAACGGCCCTTCTCTCGGGAACCCTGCCTCCCATGCTGAGCCTTAAGCTAAAATACTTTCCTTTGGCTCATATGAAACATCATGACTAGGCCCACCTATGAATGGCTGCAGGAAAGAAGAAATTAACACATCCCCTCCAGAGTCTGGCTGGAACCAGGGAATATTTACAATAATGTATCACTTTTTTTTACTTCACCTCCTCACTTCCCCCTCTTTGTCCTGTAAAAGAAACTAGCATCCAAACCCAGACAAGTCGTTCTTTGGGACACTAGTCCACCATCTTCTCTGTCTGCTGACTTTCTGAATTAAGTAGCTATTCCTTGCCCCAACAAATTGTCTCTCAATTTATTGGTCTGTCAGTGGGGCAAGCAGTATGAGCTTGGACTCTGTAGCATCCTTGGTCATCCATTTACTGGTCTGTTTGCTTTTTACTGATATAGATATAGCAACCACTTGGCTATTACATGGGCACAGTCTCCCTCCACCTCCAGTCTGTTGTCTTTTAGTTTCACTAGTGGCATCTTGAAACGTGGACTTTTGACATTTATTGTGGTTAATATTTCAGTTTTCTTCAGTAATGACTTTGGGAGAAACTTGAGCAAGATTACACATGAAAACTTGCAAGGATGTGTGTTACAAATATAAACAAGGATGTCATAAGGTGTAAGTGGAATACGTCTCATATTGATGGAGAGGGACAAACGTTTGTTGCAAACCTGTACGTGCTAGGCACCTGCCCAAGTGTTTATCCATACCAAGTCATTTGATCCTTACAGAACCGTTCCAACGTAGGCAACATTGTTCCCATTTTATATCTGAGGAAACTGAGGTAGAGTTCCAATGTCTCACAGCTAGTAAGTAACATAGTTGAAATGGCCCACCCATGTAACTGTGATGGCAAAGTCATAATATTTAATTTTACAATGATAACTGTAAAGTCCCTAGCAGTTTGGTCTAAAATTGACTGTGAGATAGGTGTAGCCTTGGCTTAATAGTGGTGAATGTGAAAAACACCTGCAAGTTCTATTTGATCTGGCAGCTGAAAAAGTTAATGAGCATGGGCAATGTTGTACTTTTCTATGGTTGCATCACTCCTGGAACATTGTGTCCAGTGTCCAAGATAAACACAGACGGGTATTAGTTGAAGCGTTGAAAATAGGTTTTGTTTAGTAACTACTGACAGTCCAGAAAGAGCTGAGTTCTATTCCTATTTGTGGAGAGGCGACTGGAACGTTTTAAAGGGAGGACGAGAGACGGGCAAGAGTGGGAGCTCAATAGAGTTAGAGAAGTGAAAATTGCAAAGCGTCGGTCAGTATAAAAGCGATTAGACCAGCTTCGTTTGCTAACTGGCAGCTGTGGAAGTGAGGAGTCTATCCTCCCACAGAGACTGGGAGACAGAGGCCCTACCCTTCCTGAAGACTGCCTCTGCAGGGAATGGCTCTCGGGTCTTTGAGAGAGATGCTTCTGAGTCTTAAGAAACATATTCACAATTTCAAGCCCTTTGGGAGGTCGGGGGCCTGCCATCAGCTGTTGGCTAGAACTTTCTCAGCTAGGCATTTTAATGGTTGTGTGTCCTAGGGATCCGCCTAATAGAAACCGTGATAGAGTTGGTCACGTCTCTTAGCGCAGGGGTTTGCACGAGTTGTCACGTGCTGACAGTTGCACAGTTCTCAACAGCTGTCAGAATCACAGTTTCTGAGCAACATTAAATACAGAGGATGGGAACCACGATGGTGGAGTCTAAAAATCATGTCCTATAAGAACCTCGAAAGAACAAGAGTTTAGCCTGGAAAAGGTAAAGCCTAGGGAGTCTAAGTCTAGAGATCTGGTTTGCACAGTCTTGGAAAAGGCTGCGTGGCCACAGAATGAACTCTTAAAGTTGGGAGTGTTGGAGCGAGCGGAGCTGCAAGTAAGCAGCTTAAAGTTCCTGACAACGAAAACATTCTGTGATTGTTGCAACCAAGTGAAGACTTTAACGAAGGCGTGCTCCTTAAGTACACAAGCTGCAAGCGAGAGATCAAAAAGAATGAGGACCGAGAAAACGGGCTCTGGATAACTTGGGACGTTTGCTTGGCTCTGATGCCAAGCCGACGAAGGGTGACGGGGAAATTAACGCTTGGTTTGGAGCAAATAGCGGCCTCCGTGCCAAAGTTCAGTGACGAGCGCTCGGCAGAAACACCAGCGATGGCTTCAGGTACGAGCTAGCCTAGAAGAGAGTGCGGCGCGGGAAGAAGGCAGCGGCCGGGTGAGCGGGTAGTACGGCGCCCTCACCTGCGTGGACACGGGGCTCAGGCGGGGCAAGCTGCTTGCACGCGCCTCCGGCTCCCGGAAGGAGGCGGGGCCGCCTCAAGCGCCGTTCACTTAAATCTGCGAGCGGGGATCACGCGTCGCCGAGGTTTCTCAGCCGAGCGCCGAGCGGTCGATCGCCCTCGCTCCCGCTCCAGCAGTCTGCGCTCCGCTCGCTGGTGGCTCCACCCGCCATTATGTAAGTGCGACAGCACCCCAGCGCGCCGCCTTCGTTCCCGGCGTGCGGGCTACAGGCCGGGGCGGGGAGGAGGTGGCCGCCCCTCGCCGCTCTGGCTTTCTTGGCTCACCCGGTCCCCGGATGGTGACAGCGGCGCGGGGAGACGCTGGACGGGGCGGCCCTGTCGAGGCACGCGTGGCGCCCGCATGCTTTGCCCCTCGCGCCCTGGAACCCCTCGGGGCTCGAGTCCCCCGCGTCCCCGCCGCCGGGCGCCCTGCCTGCCGTGCCCGGGCCCGCACGCCAGGAGCGCGGCTCGCTCGGTGCTCCGCCCCGGAGACCAAATGTACTGACGATTTCGCGCGCTGTTTAATTAGCTAGAAGTTCTAATGTGGCGTTTTTATGTTTTTAATGCAGAGACCAGTAATCCGTTATGGAGCATGCTATTACCCCGTTGGAACCCCTGCTTCCCACTGGTACCGTATTTCTTAACACGTTTTACAGTGACATTGATGTGCGCACCCCCAGAGCCTTGATGAGGTTAAGAGGGCTGGACTCCAGACCCAGAATGGTTTCCAATGTGCCTCAGATGTCCTCCAGTTAGGCATATTACTCAACCCCTCTTGTGCCTCAGTTTCCTTATCTGAAAAAAACGAGGATAGTTTTTAGTCCTTGCGGTGTAGAGTTGTTGTGAGGGCTAAAAGATGATGTATTTTATGCCCTTCACCTGGAGAAGACTAAGCCCTACTTGTAATGTGAGCTCTTAGGCCCTTAACAGCCTGAACTAATCTTTAACAGTAGAACATTGGACGCCAAAGGGGTAAAGGTCAGTCCTTATTACCTTTATTATTGCCTGCCCATGGTGACCGTTTGTAATCTATGGAAAATGCCTGAGGTTACCCAATAAAAAATGCTTTAAAGATGTAATACTCAAGAATTTTTATTATTTCTAAGTGTAAAGGCATTGTAATTCACGTGGAAATAGGTGGAAGAATGAGTTCTTTGAAGCTAATTGTTAGTCGCATTCATTGTCGAGTGTAGTAACTGACTTGTGTGCTAATTGCGTGATAAACATTTTTTATTTACCAGTTTTTATTGTGTTTCTGTTGTGTAGAACTTCTAGTTTATCAGTTCATCAATTTAAATAGAATGCATAGCTTTTTCATGTTTAAAGTTTTCTCTAAACCCATGAATTCACGAGTATTTTTGGGAGGGGGCGGGATATTGAATTTGATTTGAACTTGTCAGCTTTCCCACATCCTGGGAGTATTTATGGTAAAACAATCAAAGGATCATAACAGTAGGGAACACTGACTCCTTCCTCTCCAGTCATCTGCTGTGCTAAGTTGTTTATATATACTTCATATCTTGTTTTACAAGTAAAGGAAACAGGTAGTAATGGAGCTAGAATCTGAACCCAGATATGTTTACATTGACTTGGTTAAGAGGTTGGGTGTTTAATCATAACTAAACAGCTTCTCCTAAGTTAAGAAAAGCACTGGCAAACATAAATGTTTTGCAAATGAAATTTCATAGTTCTGTTATCCAGCAGTAGCGGCACTAATAGCATTTCCAAGAGAGAGCATTGGATTCAGGTGGCCTGTTGACGTTAAGATTTGTTACTAAATCTAAGTGCTTTAGGTTTAGTTAGAAAGGGGGATTTCTAGTGTTCTCTAGGTTTAATGAGATATGTCATATAGATAGTGCTGCATAGTAAAGGTTGGAGTGAGGCAACAGGGTCTCTGGGTTTAAATCTTAGCTTTGCTGGTGGTATTTCAGTTTCTACATCTATAAAATAGGAATCTTTGGTAGGGTTACTGTGAGTATACATGAGTTGTAAAACATGTAAAGCACTTGGCTTCAAGAGCGGTAAGCTCTTAGATTCAGCAGTAAGGCTAACATGGTTGGATCTCTGGGTCAGTGCTGAGATAGAAAGGGTCTGGAGCAATAGAAAAGTAGGAAATAGTAGGAAACACAGGCAGCTCTGCTCCCTCTGTGTTTTATCAAAGGCTTAGGAAGGAGGCCTAGACTTGTCAAGTCAGACATGTGTAAGCTCCTCACTGGGACAGGGCATGTAGGGGAACTGTCAAGAACTGTGATATCCTCTATGAAGCACAGATCTACCAGGTAGAATCCCGAGCTCCTTGGAGGAGATCTTTGGGATTTAGTGGTTCTCCTAGTTTCCTCCTGTTCCTAAGGGTAAAAGTTTATACAGATTCCCATCTCTTCTCAAACACTGGCCTAGAAGCATGGGCTCCCTAGAAGTTTACTTCGACTCTAGATAAATGAGAGATGTTTAAACACAGAAAAGTGTATGATGAGGGGCCCTTGTAGTGCCTGGCCTCTTATAGTAATTCGGTAAGTATTCGAGGTTAACTTTACATTTAGAGGGATTCCCGTCATCAGACAGACACTTAATACTTTATAGCAGAGAGGTAGTTTTTGTATTGATAACTTTTGTGAATTTAATTTTTAGGCATCATGTACCTGTAATGTGTACCCAGATTTAGTATAGCAGGCATCCTGACAAACTGATTCTCTTCAGATTAACTAATTGCTAGGTGGACCAAAATGCACATCTCTGGAATGATCATTAGCTCAGGGAAATATATATATATATATTTTTCTTGTTGTTGTTGTTTCTTGCGGTATGCGGGCCTCTCACTGTTGTGGCCTCTCCCGTTGCGGAGCACAGGCTCTGGACGCGCAGGCTCAGCGGCCATGGCTCATGGGCCCAGCCGCTCCGCGGCATGTGGGATCCTCCCGGACCGGGGCACGAACCCGTGTCCCCTGCATCGGCAGGCAGAGTCTCAACCACTGCGCCACCAGGGAAGCCCGGGAAATATGTATTTTTAATCTTTGTTTTTTGTAACTAAAGTAAATGGTTATTATTTAAAGAAAAACGACTAACCTAGACTGTGAAAGTTTCCTGTAATCCCTCTTCTGGAAATAACCATTATTAAGGTGGCATTTTTTAAAAAATATATTTTTAAAATTTATTTGGCTGCATCGGGTCTTTGTTGCGGCATGTGGGATCTTTCGTTGCGGCGTGGGGGGCTTCTCTCTAGTTGTGGCGGGTGGGCTCCAGAGCGCACGGGCTCAGTGGTTGTGGCACAGGGGCTGTAGAGCATGCGGGCTTAGTTGCCCCGCGGCATGTAGGATGGATCCCAGTTCCCTGGTACCTGCGTCCCTTGCACTGGAAGGCAGGTTCTTAACGACTGAACCACCAGGGAAGTCCCAAGGTGGAATGTTATGAATACTTATTTTTGTACATATAACCCAGTATATTATTATTCTTGTTTTAAATAAAATGGATTTATATTATAAATTGTTTTGTAAATTACTCTTTTGGAGCAGTGGGTGAAAACATATCAATATTCTTTTATTACAAAGATTATTATAGATTCTTTGTGCTCTTTGTTCATTTTTTTTAACAAATAGAAGTATTTCTATATGTTAAAAAACAATGCAAGTGAGTAAATATTACAAATCTTATTCAATGATTATTTAACAATTCATGTATTGGGCAGTATCCAATGTAGCAGACAGAAAGGAGCTTGGAGGAGCTGTACAAAATGAAAGACTTTATAGGCAGAAGGGGGCAGGAACAAGCAAGTTATACTAGCAAAAGGTAAATTGGTTCTAGCAAGGTCACTTTCCTTTAGGGGATGGTAAGGGTCTGTCAGGCAGATTACTTCACTAGTGCTGATAGGGTGATTCCTGATTGGCTGGTGTAAGATTCCATTTTGGGGAGAGCTGAAACTGTACGTAATTGGGTTAAGTATTAAGTCTGGGTTTGGGGATGTGGCATACATGACTCCATTTTGGGCCCGTTGTCTTGTTTTTAGCACTGCAGGGAAAAATCTCCATAGCAGAGATTGTCATTTTAAATCTCTAAATTGTGTTTTTCTAAATTTGTGTGCACGTGTGTGTGTGTGTGTGTGTGTTTGTACGACCTGTTTTATGCCCTTTCCTGCAGCTTTTTTCTCTTACTACTTTATGATGGTCCATACGTGTAGATATCCCAACTTTTTTTTTTTTTTAATGGGCAGTATAGACACAAAGGAACTAGGCTTTCTTAATAGACATTTAGGTTATTTCTAGTTTTTCTTATTATAATCTATAATGCATATCTTTGATTATATTATTTTTGCATATTTATGTGAGTTTATCAGTAGGATAAATTTCCAGAAATGGAATTACTGGATCTAAGGATATGTTTGCATTTCTGTTGTCTAGAGGAACTGGCAAGTAGCTAGTGTATGTCCTTTGATACTGGGTGCTGTAGAGGATACAAAAGTGATCCCTTCTATCCAGGAGCTTACGGTCTTGTTGGAATCAAGAACAAAACAAGACAGATTCTAGTTAGATGTTGAATTATGTCTGATAGGACCCACATAGGAACTGTGGGGACTGGGGAGAAGGAGATGAGGGCAGGCTGGAGTAGGCAGAGAAATGATGGGATGGACAGGTGTCAAGTGGGCAGCCAGAAGAGCACTGGATTTAAATTGTGAGAGGCCTGGGGGGAAGCACAGAGCACTGCAGGCACTAGGCCTTCCTTGAGTGAGAGCTCAGTGCTTTATCTGGCCATGAACTATTCAGTTCATCTGGTGGCGAGTGAGGAAGAAATAACGTTGGAGAGAACAGGTGGAGGTTTTGGAAGAATGGTTGAGCAGTGAGGGTATAACCACACTGTGGAGGATAGAGAGATTTATTGCAAGGTAGGAGATAGAAAACTTTGGAAAGTTTGTGTCCTTGTGCCTTTGGAACATTTTATACTAAGCAGCCTTTTGTATACCTTAAAATTCAATTCAATTCTGTCATCCATGTCATGGTTCAGCATTGCTAATCATACACAGGTTAAAGTCCTTATCCTGACCTTAAAGGCCCTTCGTGATCTGACTCTTTTTTTTGCGGTACGCGGGCCTCTCACTGTTGTGGCCTCTCCCGTTGCGGAGCACACGCTCCGGAAGCGCAGGCTCAGCGGCCATGGCTCACGGGCCCAGCCGCTCCGCGGCAAGTGGGATCTTCCCGGACTGGGGCACGAACTCGTGTCCCCTGCATCGGCAGGTAGACTCTCAATCACTGCGCCACCAGGGAAGCCCGTGATCTGACTCTTAACCACTATTCCGGAATACTTTTTTTATCACCTCTCTGTGTCCAAGCCAAGCTGAACTCCCCACTGTTTACTTATGTGAACATTTATTGGAGCTTCAGTACTTTCGCCTTAGCTCATGCTACGTTTATCACCTTGAATGTTCATTTTCAATCCTTAGAATTGTTATTCTAAAATTTTAGCCATTCCGGTGAGTGTGTAGAGGAATCTGTGGTTTTAATTTGCATTTCCCTTATGGCAGAATGCTGACCTTGTCTCTTGTTTATTGGTTGTTTGTACATCTTTGGGAAATGTTTGTCTCTTGCCATTTTTCTTTTTCTTTTTTTTAAGTATAGTTGATTTTTAATGTTTCAGGCATAC